CCCCCCCCCCCCCCTCTCTCTCTCTCTCTCTCTCTCTCTCTCTCTCTCTCTCCCATTTGAATTTGTGATCATCCTGCCTAAGCCATTCCAGAGTGCTGGAATTGCAGGCATATGCCACCAACCATGTCTCATACTTTTTTTTTAATCCTTTTACTATTGTTTTAGTGAGATTTGAGGAAGGAAGAAAATTGATGTATAGGTCAAGTTAACCATCTTACACAGAAATCTTTTTGGTTATAATTTTTTTAAGGTTATGATGTCTGTGGTCACTAATTTAACATGGTTAACCTTTTTTCCATTCTCATTTTACAGTTCCTGATGAACATCTATTATCGTAAGTACATACCTTGTTGTGTTTGATTTTCAACTCTTGGTTTTTAAAAATAGTCTTATTAAACTAAGAACGGTTTCTTAACATGGTTATTAAAAATCTCTCATGAATGGCCACATCATATTGAACAGTATAGTTATTAGCATATTGTCCTATTTGCTGGTCTTGTTTAACACTATTGTAGAAATTGTAACTATTATAGTAACATACAGAAAAAATAGAAGTACAGCTATTTTTGAAGAAAGACAATTATTACCTATTTGTAGATGATATAACTAGTTTAAAAGCAGTATAATCAATAAAAACACCAAAATCAAAGATCATTCTATTCCACAAAATCAGAAAATATAATTATATTTTCAATGGCAATAAAAAAGTGAAAGCTACCTAGAAATGACACTTAATTGCATTTTTCTATAAGGATTATATATTAAAGAAAAATAAATCACTATTTTTTTGTTTTATTTGTTTTGAGTCAGGGTCTCACTGTGTAGTTTAGGCAAATCCCTATTTTAAAAGCAAAGAAAATGCAAGTAGTCAAAAACTTTGGAAAAAATGATAAATCTTACTAGTGACCATTAAAAATACAAATTGGGATAACTTTTCATCTATGAAACTGGCAGCCACAGCAAAAATGTTTGCAGGAATATAGTGAAAGAGGAAAATGATACCTTCTTGGTAGGAAGGTAAATTAAAGTTAACTTGGCAGGGTCAGGATTTGGCTCAGTGGTTCTGCCGCCTGCCTTGCAAGTACAAGGACCCAAGTTCAATCCTGGTACCAAAAAAGAAAGAAAGAAAGAAAATTAACTTGGCAACAAAAAAAGCTTTAAAACATACATATTCTTTGTTTGTTTTTTTTTAAAGACAGGCTCTCACTGTGCAGTTCAGGCTGCCCTTGAACTTACTATGTAGCCCAGCCCGGCCTTGAACTTGTGGCTGTCCTCCTGCCTCAGGCTGCTGTTACAGGCATGCACTACCGTGCCTGGCCATAAAACATACATATTATTTGACCCACTCATAAGAATGTATTCCAAGGAAGTAATCATATATGTTCATAAAGATTTTACACTAAGCACATTCTTCTACTATGATTTATGGTAGCAGCAAAACAAAACAACCTGGAAATAACATATCCAAAATAATTTGGGAGAATAAAAGCGATCAAGCTTTCCGGTAAAAATCTTTGTTGCCATTAAGAGTGATATAACAGAAAAACATCTAATGCAGTCAAAAGATGTTCTCAGTAGGTCACAAAGTAAATGAAGCAGGTTTAAAAGAATTTTAATGTTAACTGTTATTACCTCTGATAAAGTTTTAACCAAGTTTTCTTTTTCTTTGTTGATTATATTGTCTTGTTTACTATTAAAAACTCAAAAGCAGTCTTTCCAATTCCCCAAAAATGTTGTATGAGACTAGTTCATAGGAAAATGAAGTAATATGCCTGTTATATTTTAAGATTTATAGAACAAACTCATATGCATATTCATACATATATGTAGATACCTATAAATACATGTGCACATATATCCTCTATATAATGAAATACATAACATTAACAGGAAAGAAACAAATATATATAATTGGGGCTAGAGATGGAGCTCAGTGGTAGAGCAGATGCTTAGCATGTGTGAGGGCCTATGTTCAATTGCTAACCAAAAGAAGGAAGGAAGGGAGGTAAAGAAGAAAAAAAAATGAATGTGATTGCCAAAGAGATGAAAGGAAGCTGGGAAGAAATATAAGAAACTACGAAAAAGTGTAAAGAGGGATTCTTTATCCGTAATAGTTTACTCCTTTTATTTACAAAAGCAAGAACATCTGAAATGAGTACTGGGACATAAATGAGTCCATAGGTTTTCCCATATTTTCATTTATTCCAAGTTAAAGATGCTAAGGAGATGGGGTATATAGCTCAATAGAGAGCACTTGTCTGGCATACATGAAGCTCTGAGTTCAATGCACGACACTGTGAAAAAAATTGCTGAGGATGGTGATCCTTTGGGTGTAGTTTCTGAAGTGACAGATCAGCCCTTTTAATTCAGAGCCCTTCTATTTTCCAGGCTGAAGTTTGTCTTTGGCTCATCAGCCATCCAGGCCTTGGATCTAGTTGATCGACAGTCTGTTACTTTAATTTCATCACCCAGTGGAAGGCGAGTTTACCAGGTAGACGGCTAGGGTGGGGGTTGTGAGTGGGGGATGTTCTCAACAGAAACTCCTTAGGACAAAACGTCCTCATGAATCTCTGTGGAAACTTGGGGGCACCTTGAAGTATTTCCTGGACTATTGAAAAGCTTTCAACCCAACTTAATAAAGTTAACATACTAGTAATTTATTTTAAATTGACAAAGTATATATTTATGGCATACAAAATAGATGTTTTAATATATGTTTACCTTTTGGGATGCCTAAATCAGGCTATCAACATATCCATTACCTCACATACTTATTTTGTGTGTGTTTGTCATGAGAACACTTAATATCTGCTGTCTTAGAAATTTTCAGGGATATAATACATTGTCATTAACTATAGTTACCATATTGGACAATAGATCATCTGAACTCACTCTTCCTTCCTAACTGAAATTTGTACCCTTTAAACACATCTCCCTAATCTCCTTCCTTTCACCTTTCAGTCCCCTGGTAACCATCTCTTTTTGCTTCTGTAAGTTTGACTATCAATTAAAATCTTAAAGCTGGGGATTTAGCTCAGCGGTTCGGTGGCCTGCCTTGCAAGCGCAAGGACCCAAGTTCAATCCCTGGTACCACAAAATAAATAGATAAATAAATAAAATCTTAAAGATCTTTTTAAATTTTTTTTTTTTTTTTTTTTTTTGGTACCAGGGATGGAACCTGGGTCCTTACAATTGTGAGGCCGGCAAACCACTGAGTTAAATCCCTGGCCCCTAAAGTATTTCATTATTGTTGGCTTTTTGTTCATCCCAGAAGTCTGTGACTTGTTTAGTTTGTTATTCATACCCAGTATTATATTATACTCCTTTATCAGTCATAAAAATGCCTCAAACTGTGGTTGTCAACTTGGACTTTGAATTAAATGAGACTGTAGAAACCTCATACACCCTCAGGTTAACCTTAATGATTGTATCATATAGTAATATAGCAAGAATTAGGTTTAATTTATGAGTTATGTAAGATAATAAAAGTTGAGTCAGAAACTGCCTTGATACTCAGTTTATTACTTTTCTGTAAGTCAGCCTTTATTTCATGGATCAGCCTAATAGTGTTACTGTCTTTCAGGTGTAATGTATAATTATTCTCAAGTCACCATTTTATTGGTGTCACCTGAACTACTTTGTAGAAACTTTTGGCTTATTTGAAAAAGAGGAACAGCTAAGTTTCAGTCAGGAACAACTAAGTTGTCTATGGTAACAATGACCTTCAAAACTTAAAGGATTACAAGGGGCTGGGGATTTAGCTCAGTGGTTCTGCCGCCTGCCTCACAAGCACAAGGACCCAAGTTTGATCCCTGGTACAAAAAAAAAAAAAAAAAACTCAAAGGCTTACAAAAACAAAGCTATAGGGCCAGGGATTTAGCTCAGCGGTTCGGTGGCCTGCCTTACAAGCACAAGGACCCAAATTCAATCCCCAGTACCAAAATAAAACAAAAAAACCCCCAAAAAACAAAGCTATATTCATTCATGCCCCATACCATCCAGAGTTAACTGTAGCTGTGCTCCAACAAAATACTGTCAATCAGAAATCCCATTTGGGGAGCTGGGGCTCAGTAGTTCTACTACCTGCCTCTCAAGCGCAAGGTCCCAAGCTTGATCCCTGGTATAAAAATCAATCAGTCAATCAACCAGTCAATCCATCCCTGTTGGTGAAACATCTGACTTTGTGAAATAATGTGGAACTCATGGCTGAAAGAAAGGAAATCATGATATGCTACAATTTTCAACATTTGTTTGGCTACTTAGATTTTTCTGGCTATAAGGAGGTCACATATCCAGTCTGTATTCAGTAGGACAGGAACGTATAATACTTTCTCCAGAGAGAGGCACCAAATACAGAGAACAATAAATAGTTACAGCTTACCATTGTTAAATACCCTAAAAGGCTTGGAGCAGTCATGGAATAAGACTGTCATGAATGGATAGCCGTCTAGGTGGGATGCCCTCTTCAAAATCTAACTGAAATCACAGGAGACTTCCTCTAAGTGAAGTTCTTATGAGCTCAATGATGGTCTGAGTACTGTAGCCTTCCTGCGTATTTTTTAAAATCTCATTTCTTCTGGGAATACACATTCCAGACTATGAGTGGAAGAACTAGGAGCTATTCTTGTAAGAGGAGGTCATTTTTCCATTGAAGGGTAAAGGAAATGAATTAAATTATCCCTAAGGTTAATTTCCATTTCTAAACATTTCTAACAGATTTTTGCCTGATTATTGGGTTCATTAGTTGTCTACTGCTAGACAAGGAAGAAACAAATTTAAAATTTACTTTCGTTACACTATGTACTGAATCAGTCAGTGAACATTTTACTTTGAGTCTGTGACAGCTTGTACAAGGATCAGGTAAGGAAGCCTCTGTAGAGTTTTATCCCTGTTGCCAAGTCACCAGGCATTTATTCAACGTAGTCCCGGGAACATTCTGATGGATTAGGGACTTGAAATACAA